GGCACACAAACGCTCCCCTTAAGTGCTAGTCTGGTAATTGAGAGCAGTTGTGCCTCGTCGCCTAGAATGCCTTCCCACCTGTGCGGAGGCGGAGCTACTATAACAGCCTGTGCCAGCAGATGAGGTTCTGGGGGTGGTCTGGGCCACGAATGTAACAGTAATAATCCTATGTGGAACAGTTAGTTGCATCTGATCTAGGTCCGTATGGGGTAGGAAGAGAATGAGAAGACAGTCCTGACAGTTTAATAGTTGTTATATTTGTGGATGTACATCGCCTGTGATACATTTAAAGCTTCATAAGCATAGGTAATGTGAAAAACCTGTAAAACCTTCTGCACATAGAGCTTCATTATTCACATTCATACAACAAATACAGTGTATTTATATATACACTCCAATCCAGATCTATGAAAAATGCTTAACCTACTGATGTTCATCTACAGAAATGGAACTTTATATAGTAGCTATGTCTGCATTAAGAATGTATTGTGTATTTATGCTGTAACTGTAGAGCAAACATAGTTATTCTGTAGATGATTAACTTGGACTGTAACAAAAAGAGCTGATTAATCCATTTAGTGGAAAATGCCTTAACTTTTAATTTTTTTGTCTGATTCTTTGGTAAATTTACGAAAACACTATTCTTTCCTTTGAAATAGTAACCAGAATCCAAAATGAGGAAAGCTGTCAGAGACTAACTTTTTTATTTAACAACTTTTATTACCCTGCTCTGTTGGACAATATATTACCTGCTTCACAAAGGAGGCATGGTTTTATGAGACAGGGGCTGATGATACAAATATATCTCATAAATAAAGACAGTGTTGCTAATGTGACATTGTCCTACTGACAACCAAGCTAGCAAAACTGCTAAATGACAGTTATAAGCTATCTACCTCTGATAATACAATATAAAATATGATTCTAATTCATTTAAGTGCCATAGTTTGCAGTTAATCAAATTACCACAAACCAGCTGACACAACTTAAACCTGGGGCTTTTGGGGCAGTTGCTATCATTATTGTGATAATTCAGCTGTGGAAGAAAGTGTTTCTTAATTACTGGATCAGTCTTCTCTTGTGTGTATGCTATGTGGGAGGATGTACTCATCCATGTTAGGTGAAAAATACCAGGAGGCTATGGGATCAGAACTGGCTCTCCTCCAGAATCTCCTCCATGGTCTCCCCTAGCGTCATATCTCCATCACTACTAGACAGGCTCTTCCTGGTCAGAAAATCAAGTCCTGCTGTGTCACAGCCCATCAGCCCCTGACATTTAACCTCTCCAAGTGCTCCATTTCCTCCATGTACAGCCACTTGAAGCAGGTGTGGGTGAACTGTGGAAACACCCCCCTCATCGTAAGAGTATCTCTGCCGAGAGCGCTGTGGCTGGCGCCCCCAAGTGCACTTCCACAGGCGCTTGAGAGGTGCACCGTGAAAACAGCTCCTGACCTGGAAGTGGCTGGTGAAGAGGAAAAGCTGCCAGCGCTTCTTCAGTTCAGCTTGGACCTAAATGCAGATTAACAAAATAATCATTAGTAATTGCCATTTCATTTCACTTGATTCATTAAGCCAATTGAGCCATTGTGTTGTCTTAGCTTTGCTGTTGCTGTAAGTTGGGGGTGTTCTGTTATTTTCATCACAATCGAACAAATGGTACACTGTCTCCTAAATTCCATTTTTATATTTTACATTTTAAGCATTAAATGGCATGGCCCCAGAAAACCTAACTGACCTTGTCCAATGGCACAGGCCCCCAAGAGCTCTTAGTTCAGCAAATGGTTTCTTGTTGGAGGTTCCCGGGGTTAAATGATATCACTGGGGAGATTGTGCTTTCTTGGAAGCAGCCCCAAGACTCAGACCTGTCAGAGTTAAATCTTCACTAAAATGTATTTGTTTGCTCATCCTGCCTATGATTCTTGGTTAATTTTGTTATTGTCTGTGACAACATGCTGTGTATATACTGTAAATGAATTTTGATTTGATTTGATATTATAGTTTTTTCATGGTGGGTAATGTTACATTTTTTGCATGAATGAAACACTACATTGCATTTATGATGTGGACTGAACCGACCAGGAGGTGGCCAGGGTGGATAGCAGGCATACCAAGTGTTGGATTGTGACTCAGAAACCATGGTTCTGTCTGTGGTCAGGTTGGGGCAATAAAAGCATTGGTTAAGTTTAGAAAAAAGTCAAATTATACATATATACTGTACAGTACTTTTACAGTTGTCATGCACAGATTTCTGAATTGTGACGTGCTTTATTTATTTATGAAGTTTTTTGGTTGCAGCAGAAGTTGAAAATATGTTATCTGACATGATTTTTTTTTAACATATTAGCAAACAGTTGTCTGTTCACACATTTAGTACAAAATAAGCTACATTAACAGTCATTTAAATTATTTTAGTTCATGTGATGAATGTACATCCTCCTTTAAGATGTGTTTTGGTTTCTACCAGCTCCAGAGAAAAATATCTGTCTTTTTAGCCACTAAATAGTTCACTATTTTCATCAAGCAGCTGCTAACTCTGCTTGCCAGTTGGTACTAGGCAGGTATGGTAAATTGGTGGACATTTTTGCCAAAAACAACTATTTGCTGCTGCTGTAAACAATGTTGCTATGAGTGGAGAAACCAAAACAATGAATTTAGAGGATAAAACCCAGCTTTGCACAATAGTTCTCTGTGGGTTTGTCACATTTCACACTATATATAGTCATCTGATTCATTGTCAATATTAAAATGTTACTTAGTGCACTGTCTCAAAGCAACAAGTGACAACAAAATGTCTGCCTTCTCAGTCTTGTTTCTAACTAAGCTATCATTTCACAGTACTGTATTATGAGATTCTGATTCTACAACAAATTTCATCTATAAAAATTACAGAATGTACAAAAGAAGACACATACCTCTCCATTAGCGAAACAGTATAGCAAGGCAACCAAGAATCCCTGAAAAGGTAATAGATCAAATTAGGGCTGATGTGGATCCAGTCAGAAAACAAACTCAGGTATCTACAGTAGCAATTCACTTAAAGGATAAGGCTGGTCATTTTCAGTATTAACAGCATTTTCAACACTCCCCATGCAGAGACTAAAACAACAATAAACTGCCTCTACTCAATGTTAATGTCTGTCAGTCCTGGATTAGTTTATTCATCTGTGCCATTGACTTCCACTGATGTTTAAAACCAATTAAAAACACGTTATGGAAGCACACTGCGACTTTGTGCATATTTCCTCATTATAAAACACAATACCCTAATATTTGTTAAGAATACCCAGGGTTCTTGTACATGGGCCCATGCTTTAGACATTATAAAATATTATGGTCATTCAGAGCCTTTGGGAAATCATTTTTAAAAGATGTATGTGTCTATGGCACAGATAAATACATTAATCCAGTTCTGACAGTAGTGACAAATCACTGTTGGTTTTAGTCTCTGTATGGGGGACTGTTGAAAATACTTCTGTCGGTTGTTCCCGTTAGGGGTCGCCACAGTGAATCATCTGTTTCCACCTAACTCTATCCTCAGCATCCTCTACTCTCACCCCAGTTAACTTCATGTCCTCTTTTAGCACATCCATATATCTCCTCTTTGGCCTTCCTCTTGACCTCTTGCCTGGCAGCTCCATCTCCAACATCCTTCTACCAATATAACCACTATCCCTCCTCTGCACAT